TGCAGGCTAATAACACCCCTGCTAGTGTTATCCTATCTGCCAGTACACCTTCCAAAACCAAACTTTTGAAAGTGTGAAGGGCCTCAATGTATTTGTCATTCTTAACCAGACCCATAATCATAGTGTTCCAAGATATCAAATCTCTTACAGGCATATCTGTAAAGACTTTCATGGCATTATCAACTGATCCAACTTTAGCATACATGTCTACTAGCAAACTAGCGACAATGGCGTCAGATTCAAAACCCAACTTAAGAACCAAATTGTGGATTTGACTACCCAACTCCACAGGTGTGAAGACTGAGATAGAGCTCAGCACACTGCTGAGTGTAATCTCAGTTGGCCTCAGGTTCTCCCTCAAGGTATAAACAAAAAGCCTTAGAGAATCCCTCCAATGACCATGCCAGGAAAAGCTTGAGATCATGACATGACAAAGAGCTGGATCCCATCGATTGGTTTCTTCAAAAAGCTGCACTGAATCCTTCAAGTTGTTGCATTTGGAAAACAAGTCAATAGCAGCACTAAGGACAATGTTGTTAGAAGTAAATCCCATCTTGAAACAGAAAGCAAAAATTTGCTTACCCAAATCAAACGCTTGGAGGCCACAACAGACACTCATCACTATTGATACAGTGAACTCATCAGGAGAGTGCTCAGTGGTTCTCATTAGAGAGAACTGGTTTAGTGCCAATACTCTAAAGCCTGATCTGTGGCAGCCCAAAATCAAAGAGTTCCAAGAAATAACATCCACCTTTTCCATTGTAAAAAATATGGCAAACATATAATCAACAAGGCCAACTTTTCCATACATATCAATTAACGAATTCCCAAGCACCACACTAGACACATCCACACCACTACGAATCATACTACCATGAATTTGCTTACCATGACGAGTACACGACACAAGTGACAGCAAAATGGAAAAGGTATACTCACTTGATCTAAAACCAGCATTTTGCATCTCCAGAAAAACAGCCATAGCACTATCACCAAACCCAGATGAGACGTAGCCAGAAATCATGGAGTTCCATGAAACAGTGTCTCTCTCAGTCATTTCATCAAACAACTGGCATGCACCTTTAATATCACCAAATCGAAACAAGCCCTTCAAGCATATGTTCCAGGATATAACATTCTTCTCTTTAATGTCATGAAATACTTTCAATACCTCATGAACGGGACCAAATAACCCGTATAGCTGAAGACAGCGATTGCCCAAAAAAGTATTGTTGTTAAGGCCAAGCTTTACCAACTGAGCGTGGATTGTTTTCGCAATATGAACAGATCTTAGTGCTAAACATTGGTCTATCAACTGAGAATACAGAGAAATGGAAGCTCTATGCGCACCAACAAGTTTCTTCAGTAGGAGGCACATACAAATACGGTAGCCACTATGAATAACGAAACTTGGGTTCGACCAACGGTAGAATATAGCCACTATGAATATGCATGTCAATTAAAGAGCTTGAAATAACATCATCCTCTTCAAAACCTACTTTAACTCCACCATGAATTTGCATACCTTGTACAAGTGCTGCCATACTTGAACAAGCAAGAAAAGGTAAAACTCAATGAAAACTGCTTCTCGGAACATTCGGTAAAACATCGACAGGCAGAGGGTAGATCCTGGGGAGGGGCTTAACCCCACATTCAGACAAGACCCACCTCGCCATTAGAGACCCAGATGGAAGAAAACAAGTATTCCCAGATTCTGGCCTCTAGTTCCTCAAGATAGAGAAGAAAGAAAGATGGGCAAAAAACCCTAAAATAAAAAGAGATGAGATAACAGAGTCAGAAATCTCCTCCTTCGCTCACAACCATAAATCTCAACATGTGCTTCTTGTGGATTGTCCTGTGCCTCGGCCCCTCTCTCAAATCTCCACTCTATTTATAATCAACCATTCGTACCAATGACTGTTTCTTCATCACAGCAACCTTTTGGAGGCTGGTTGGATTTTTCCAAGCAATTGGGTTGGCCATGGATTGGAATCGTGTTGCTATTGGGCGATTGAACCGCTGGGAGTGAAGTGGTGGGGCCGAAGGGAGAAGGAAGAATGGAAGATAACGTGGTGAAATCGGAGACGCAGAATCTGCATCAGAATTGGAAACATGTTTTCGAATTTGGTAATGGGTCTCGATCGGATTCGGGGCCGGGGGTGTGGACTGTGGATTGGAATTTGGACTGTGGGCTGCCGTGGGAACTCAAATTTTCAAAAAATTTGACTCTCTGAATTAAGATGGAACAAAAAGAAAAAAGGCGTGAAATTTACTGTCACCTCATTGAACACGTCTTCTTCCTATTTTTGTTGAATTTGATACGACTTTGTGTGTCCCTCTCTCTTTCTTTCTATGAACACAAGAATTTGAATTTTTTTTCTAGTTTTTTAGAACCGTTTAATTCATCTTTGAACTTTTAAGTCCGTATTTAATAGGTTATTGAATTTTAAAAGTGTAAAATAGGTATCTGAACTTTTAATTTTCTGTAATAAATCTTTGATCTATTCGATATTATTTTTATTTATGAAGCTAGAATTTCATGTCTAAGAGTACCCTAAGCTTTCAAGTTTATGTCTAATAAGTTTGTGGATTTTTTAAAATGTCTAATGTGAATTGAAAATTTAAAGACCTATTAGACATAAACGGAAAGTTTATGACCTTACCAGACATMAAATTAAAAATTTAGRACCTRTTTRGCAATGTTTCCGTTTTTTGTTTCGTGTTTCCGATTTTTTTTAGAAATCTTAGCATTCGACAACTATTTATGTTTCTTGTTYCAAAATATAAATTAAAATGTTGTTTTATCATTCTTGAATCTATAGATGTTGGGGTCATACGTCACCAAACGGGCTCTTAAGAACCTATTAGATACTTTTTCAAGCTTAGGAAGATAATTAACATTTTGAGACCTATTAGACACTTTAAAAGTTTGAGGTCCTATTAGACATTAGTGTAAAAGTACTAACATGAGYCTAGCTCAACCGTAATTGACATCTGTCTCCTGGSCAAGATGTTATGAGTTCAACTCTCACTCTTATTTGTTGTACTAAACATTAATATAAAAGTTAAGAACTAAAYTTGTAATTTAACCTAAATTTAATGTGTAGTTTAAAAAATGCTACAACTTTTGATTTCTTTTTTTAGATATAGCATAAATGTGACTTTTTGTAATATGTATTATTTACATTTGAGTTTGAGTTTGATTTGTATTATATTATTTTTCTAAAATTTCAAATTTTGTCATATTTGAAAATAAATATTTGTTCTTATGCATTTATAACTCTAAATGGGGGCCACGGACTCCCACACGATCACATTCCAGCAATCGGTTAAAATTCAATCCTCCAAAACCTAAGGGTACGAGGTGCGATGCCAAAACCGTTGGTGAACTTAAAATTCAAACCTTCAAGGCAAGGGGGCGATGTGAAAGTTCAGATTGATCAAGCCTTTGAACCTGAGGGTACGAGGTGCGATATGAAGAACAGTTATGGACTTAGGATTTTAGCATTTTAACATTTTTAAGTTAAAGGTGTGATGTTAAAAAGTCCAGAGTTGGTGCAATGCATTGAATACTAGACAGCGATCCGAGTTCAAAATTTCAAGTATTTTAGTTAATGGCGCGACCTCAAAGGTACGAGGCGCGAGGTGACATTGGCTTCAACTTGAAGAAAAACCGAAGAAAGAAGGCAACAAAGTAAAAACAAATGAGAAGCCTCTTTATTGAATGAAAAGCAGAGCCAAGSCTTATAGACCTTGCAGCTCTGCCCTAACACAAACAAAAAAAAAGGGAGAAGAGAAGAAAGACAGAGAAAGGCCTCATGAGGGATGATCGCCTAAGAGCCTGCCTGAGGAGCGCCCTCCTGAGTGGTGCCGACCTGGTCCTCTTCGAGATCGGAGTAGTCAGAGTCCAGATCTCTGACATACTTATCCACCAACGCTTGGGGGCCAGGGGTGCAGCCAGGCCCAGACGCCCACTGCTCGGCATACTTCTTCTTCAGACCACTGAGATCGATCTGAAGGTCAGGCATGTCGGAGGCAATGCCCTTCATGAGAAACTTGAAGCCCGCGTCAGAGAAGTCTTTGGCAAATCCGTCGAAGTCAGGATGTTGCCTAAACGATTCCTCCAGTAGGACTCCATTGCTGAGACGCTCCTTCACCGTCTCCAGCTCGGCAGTCGCACGCTTCAGCTCCTCCTCCTTCGCTTCAAGCGTCTGGAGCATCTCGTCCTTCTCCTTGAGGAGTTGGAACTTCTCCTTCTCCAAGCCCCTGGTGATAGCATGAGCAGCTCGGAGCTGGACCTTGCGTCTGTCCTCTTCCTTCTTCAGCAGCTCGACCTTGGTCTCCACCTCGGCCTTCAAAGTTTCCACCTCAGAGTGAGCCTTCAGTAGCTCATCCTTCATGGTGGAGGAAGCAGCCTCCAAGGCAGCGGAGAACTCCTCTTTCTCCCTCGCTGCCAGAGCTTCCCTCCCATCCAGCTCGACCTTTACAGCCAGAGCCGATTGGATGGAACCAACGAACGCCTGAGAAAAGGTACAAAGAAGGGAATTAGACTGAGCTACCTGTTAGGTAAATTAAGCAAGAATGGAGACACTAGTCTTACCTCAGCAGCGTAGTCGATGGTCCTCTGCAGAACGGACCCTGGGTCGCTCACAAATTTGGACGCCCTCCTTAGGCAGCGGTCCAAACTTGCGGCCGAGATGCGGGACACCTGGTCCCTCACCCCAGAACTTGACGGCTCAACTCTGAACCGTGCCGTCACGTCGGACGTCCCGCCCATCCTGGCCTCGGGATCGTCCACCCGATCTGCGTAGCTCGCAGGCAAGACCCCATGAGCTCCGACCTCCAAGGGGGAGGTTGTCTTCTTCTTCTTCTTCCTTCGCTTCAGAGGGACTTCCTCCCTCACCTCCTCGCCCGAAGGCAAGGCGTCCACCGCCTCAGTCTGATCCCTGGGGCGCTTCTCCTTTGTTTATGTGATAAACTCATTTTCTTTTATGTCTTTTTGATCTTTACAAACTTTAAGCTTTTTCTTTGCCCCTATATAGGAAGTCCTTGTCCTTTTTA